GGCAAATTTCTTTTTCTGGATGTGAAACAACTGATAGTTGGTCTGCAAATTGCTTTTAAACTATATATACTAATTAAAAAATTTAAGCATTTAATAGGACTAATAAAAATGACTCATAATTACTAAACCATATACAACTTGCTTTGAAAAGATAAATAAATAAACTTTAGGATATATTTTCCCTTTCCAGCTAATATTACGGTGCCCAATGCGCTTCTTGATGAGACACTATCTTTGTTTTCATTCTCCTCATGAGCTACACATATCGAATTTATATAACTGGTCAGAAAATGTTTATAGAAAAGAGAAAAAAATAAACAGACAGATAGGAAAAGCCGGGCCATGCGAGTGCACCCGCTATAGCAGTCAGACATGTAAACTACAACCTTCAATCATTTTTTATGAAATAAAAGTGAGTAAATTGTATTAAGGTATGGGTGCCAAGGGGACGAGAAAAAAAAAAATTACAGATGTATAAGTGTATCTATAATACATCCAAAATCTTCTAAACTATCCAGGTAACGACCAAGAATAGTAGAACCAAAAAATGAAGTCATCTATCCTTGATAGGGCATTCATCTACCCTTTTTTTCATTTCATTCCAAATCACCTAAATAATGGATAGTGGGATAAATCTGTGACATCTATGTTTCGTTCTAATCCCTCCCCAAGCAAGAAATTCATCTTTAACAGACCCAGTGATAACCTAATGAATGCCCAGAAGATTATATATCATTGACTAAAGCTTAAAGGAAACCGGGTACCAGAGAAGTGATTACAACCTTCAATCTTGTCAATTTTAACAACAAATATTTTTTCTCATCTCACATTGTTTCCAGATATCTCACTCTCATTCCTCCAACATAATCAATCAAGCATGTACTGCAATATATCAGCTTTCACAGCGCCATATGACCATATACGCACTATAACACTAGATCTCATTGGAATTGAATCGTTCTTATTTCTTGGAAAACAGTAGCAAAATGATAAACTTTGGAAGGTCCCTAACTTGAACAACAACAGTTCAACTTGAATATTCAGAAATCAAGTCCTTCTCTACCATTCTTAAATCATATATCTAACATTTGACTACACAATCAACTAATCACTATAAACTGAAAATCAATGTTGCGGTGCACAATTCAAATATAACAATAAAAAACTAACACAATAACTCAAACCATAGTTTACCAAAAACAGGTTACCTACAAAATATGGTATGGGTACAAGCTCTGAATATGAAATAGCAACTTAAAAGAAAAAATACGAGACAGCAAACACAAAAAAAAAAAAAGGGAAAAAGGTTGTTGGTACACTAATATGAATTTCTCTTCTGGCTTAGCTCTAGAAATTTAAAGTCTTAACCTTGAATTCTGATAGAATGCTTGGTTGATGTTTTAATTTTAAAGGGAAAAGCATCTATGAAAGGAAAAAAAGAAAAAGTACCTGCAGAGTTGATCAAGAAAATATTTGAAACAAATCAAAACAAAGCAAACAACACATAGAAAGACAAAGCCACACCAGTTACAGCAGCATATTGGGCGTTAGATATAGTAAACAAAATTCAAGTGAGTGCTGTGGGCAATAAAAACATAGTTAAAAGGATTGTTGGAAATAGAAACATTAGGACTCAATGAACAATTCCATCTAAATGATACAAAAAGAAAACACTGATACATTTGAAAAGAAAATTAAAGATTTAAGATTCACGCACCTGTGGTATGGATCAAGTATATGAAATGAATTAAAATGAAATAGTCAACGCAGGAGAAGAGAAAGCAAGGAGTGATAAAAGCATATGAAAGAACTGAATCAAAAACTGTTCTTGCAATGCGAAGCGACCTGAAGTTGATGACATCAAATAGGAAAAAAAAAACAAAAAAAATAGATAGACACATTAGGATTCGACAAACTATTATACAATGCAAGAAAAAATAAAACAAGAAAATAATAAATTTGAAAAGAAAAAACAGATCCAAGACTCAATATCTGTGTCCTTGATGTAAATGGGCAGCACCCCCTTGATGCCTATACTTTAATACATCTTTCTACTATTTTATCTAAAAAATATTGTGTGTCCTTGATCACCAAAATACATGAAATGAATCAAAATGAAAAAACCAATGGCAAAGAGAAAGTGAGGAGTAATAACAATATAACAAAGAACAAAACCATATGTTGTTCTTGAGATGTAGAGAAACTTGAGGTCAATGACATCAGAGAAGAAAAGAAAAACAGAAAAAAGGAAGATAAACAGATTATGAATCAGCGATAATGATAAATTTGAAAAAAAAAAACTCATAATAACAAATTGCACAAAGATATGCAAACCTTATAGTAGCTGAGGTAGCAAGCTGAAAAATATCGTTGAATACCCAATCCTCCAATACTTGTAATGCAAATATACAAAAACGATATAAGTATTAAAGAGCGACACCTCCTAAAAACAATTTGCTAGCTGAAAGATCATAAACTGCAAAAACTTAAAGATTGATAATGGGTTACCCCATAGATCCAAGAACGTTAGCTATCATGGGCAGTTAGCAAATATCTTTTTTCAGATGTGAATTGACTGATAGTTGGTTTGCAAATTGCTTTTAAGCTATATATACTAATTATGAAATTTAAGCATTTATAAGACTGCTAAAAATAGGGCTAATAATTATGAAACTAACTTTGAGTCTTCAGAACAGCTTTAAGGTATTAGGCAAATTGCTACATATTAAGTTGCTTTTACAACTTGCTTATTAAAAAAATAAATAAATAAATTCTAGGATACAATTTCCCTTTCTGGCTAATGTTACGATGCCCAATGCACTTCTTGATGAGACACTATATTTGTATAAATTAAGAGATAGGTGGATTAACTATTTTAAGTCTAGTTTGCTGGGTCATGATATTGTACGGGACGAAAATTTTGGGAATATCATTGACATACTAACTACTTTGTAAATTACTTACAGATTAATATCCCCTTTTTTGGTACTTTGATAATATACACATTACTTTTTATTTTAAAAAAAATGTATGCATTCTTCACTTGAGTTAAAATGCATATATAATTTATAACACTGGTTAGAAAATAAATATAAGAGACAACAAAGAGAAAGAGGTACACAGATAGACAAATGAGGGATAGGGAAAGCTGGGCCAAAATAATATATTAATATCCCGTACCATCTATCTATCCCTCAAAACAAAAAAGACCAAAATTTTTATTGCACCTTTTGACCTGCCATGTGAGCAACTGCCATGGAAAAGGTCAGACATGTAAATTACAACCTTCGAACTTATCAATTCTAACAACAATATTTATTCACATCTCACATTGTTCCCACACATCTCACTCTAATTCTTTCAACACAACTAATCAGGTATGTACTGCCACATATGACCTTTCCCCCAACGCCACATGACCATACACACACTATAACACTGGATCTCATTGGAATTAAATTGTCACTGATCCTTGGGAAACAGAAAAAATAGGATAGACCTCAGAAGGTCCCTAACTTGATCAGCAAAAGTAAATCAAGTCCTTCTCTATCATTTTTAAATCATATATCCATCTTTTTCAGGAACTATACTACAATTAATAGCTATGTACTAAAAATCAATATTGTTGTAACAATTCAAATTCAACAGTCAGAAGCTACATTATAATAATTAATAGGATAATTCAAACCATGGTTTATCAAAAACATGGTAGCTACAAAATGTGGTATGGGTACAAGCACAGAATATGATATAAAAAACTTGAAAGAAAAAATACATGGCAGCAAACAGAAAAGAGAAAGAGAAAAAGGCTGTTAGTACAATTATCTGAATTTCTCTTCTGGCTTAACTCAAGAAATTTATGGTCTTAATCTTGAATTCTGATAGAATGCTTATTTGCTGTTTTAGTTTTAATGAGAAAAGAATATGAGGAAAAAAAAGAAAAAATACCGGCAGAATTGATCAAGAAAATATATAAAATGAATCAAAACAAAATGGGCAACACATAAAAGACAAAGCGAGGGCAGTTACAGCGGCGTATTGGGTGTTAGATCCAGTTCACAAAATTCAAGTGAATGTTGTGGGGAATAAAAACATAGTTAAGAGAACTTTTAGAAATAAAAATGTTAGGACTCGACGAACAATTCCATCTCAATGATACAAAAAAAAAATAGTGATACATTTGAAAAGAAAAATAAAGCTTTAAGATTCAAATGTAGTATGGATCAAGAAAATCTATGAAATGAATCAAATGAAACAATCAGCATAGGAGAAGAGAAAGCAAGGAGTGATAAAAGCATATGAAAGAACCAAATAAAAAACAGTTCTTAAAATGTGAAGCAACCCGAAGTTCACGACGTCAAATAGGAAAAGAGAAATACAAAAAGAGAGAGAGAAATGTCAGGATTCGACAAACTACTACACAAAAAGAGAGATAGATATGATATATTTAAAAAGAAAAAAGAGATTTAAGATTCACGAATCCATGTTCTTGATCAACAAAATAGATGAAATGGATCAAGATGAAACAATCAATGGGAAAGAGAAAACAAGGAGTAATAATAGCATAACAAAGAAGCAAACCAGATATTTTTATTGAAATGTGGAGAAACTTGAGGTCAATGACATCAGAGGAAAATAATGATAAATTTGAATGGAGAAGAAAAAAACTCACAATAACAGCTTGCACAAAGATATACAAACCTTATAATGGCTGAGACAGCAAGCTGCAAAATGTCATTGAATACCCAACCTTCAATACTTGTGATGTAAATATACAAAAACGTGATAGGTATTAAAGAGCGACACATCCTAAAAACAATTTGTTAATTGAAAGATCCTAACCTGCACCAAGATTATATTGCTCAACCAAAAATTGATAATTAATTATCCAAGAGGTCCAAGAACGTTAGCTATCACGGACAGTTGACAAATTATAAAACTTAAGCATTTAGTAAGACTAATAAAAGTAGGGTTGATAATCATGAAACTTGCTCCGAGTCTTCAGAACAACAATTGCTTTAAGGAATAAGGCAAATTGTTATATATTAAGATGTTTTTACAACTTGTTTATTGAAAAAATAAATAAATAAACTCTAGGATATATGTTCCCTTTCCAGCTAATGCCATGATGCCCAATGTACTTCTTGATGAGACGTTATCTATGTATGCATTCTGCGCTCGAGTTAAAACGCATATATAATTTATATTGCTGTTTAGAAAATAAATACAAGAGATTAGAGAAAAAGGTACACAAGCAGACAAATGAGAGATAGGGAGAGCCGGGCCAAAATAATCTATTAATATCTCGTGCCGTCTCCCCATCTCCCCAAAACCAAAAGAATGTGAATTTTATTGTACTTTTTGACCTACCATGTGAGCACACCCGCCATGGCAAAGGTCAAACATGTAAATTACAAACTTCGATCTTGTTAATTCTAACAAATAATTTTTCTCATCTCACATTACTTCCACACATCTCACTCTCATTCTTTCAACGCAACCAATCAGGCATGTACTGCCAAATATGACCTCTCCCCAAGTGCCATATGGCCATACACACATTGTAACGCTGGATCTCATTGGAATTAAATCATTATCGATCTTTGGGAAAAAGTAGCAAAAGGATAGATCTCAGAAGGCCCCTAACCTGATCAGCAAAAGTTCAACTTGAATATTAGAAATCAAGTCCTTCTCTATCATTCTTAAATCATATATCAAACATTTTAAGGGACAACACTATCAATTAATAACTTTATATTAAAAATTAATATTGTCGTACCAATTCAAATACAACAGTCAAAAGTTATATTATAATAACTAATAGGATAATTCAAACCATGGTTTATACCTACAAAATGTGGTATGGGTACAAGCACGGAATATGGTATAGAAACTTTGAAGGAAAAAATACATGACAGCAAACACAAAAAAGAAAGAGAATGAGGCTGTTAGTGCACCTATCTGAATGTTTTTTCCGGCTTAGCTCAAGAAATGTATAGTCTTAACGTTGAATTATGATAGAATGGTAATTTGATGTTTTAATCTTAAAGAGAAAATAATATATGAAAAAAAAAAAGAAAAAGTACCTGCAGAGTTGTTCAAGAAAATATATGAAATGAATTAAAAAAAAAGTCAACAGAGGAAATAAAGCGTACTTAAGGGATTTTTGGAGGTAGATACATTACGATTCAACAAAAAATTCCATCTCAATACAAAAACAAAACAAAAAATTGATAAATTTGAAAAAAATAAAAATATAGATTCAAGGTCCATGTACCTGCAGTCTTGACCAGGAAAAGATATGAGAGGAATTATAGCGAAACAGTCAACGCAGGAAGGAGAAAGCGAGAAGTGGTAACAACATATTATATATCCAAATCAGAGACTGTTCTTGAGATGTGGAGCAACTCAAAGTTGATGACCTCCAATAGAAAACGAGATAGATAAAAAAAGGAGATAAATATGTTATGCCAAAGGTAAACAAAACAAGACAATGATAAATTTGAAAAGAAAGAAAAAAAGATTAAAGATCTGGTACGTGCGGTCTTAATCAAGAAAATATATGAAAGGAATTAAAATGAAATAGCCGATGCGGGAGAGAGAAAGGGAGGAATAATAACAGCATACGAAAGAACCAAATCAGACACTATTCCTGAGATTTGGAGAAATTCAAAGTAGGAGATGAAAAGAAAAAGAGAACAAAGGAGATAGATACCTTGCAGGTCATATGGAGAAGCCAACCCTTCTAAACATCATCGGCGCTTTAATTTCTCTGGAAACCCATAACTTATAGTCAAATCAAAAATTTCCTTGAAACTTTTTCCACTCAGGCAACTGAAACTCAAGACACAAAGAAAAGAACCGAGCAAGATCAGAACCAACAAGACTACTACTCCTTGAAAGAACTGGATAGTCTTACCAATGTCTGAAAATAGGATTCTGGACGCAACACGGGGAATGGATCGTGTCTGCGTATCAGAGAATCTGCGCTTTTGAAAGAACAGGTCGAGGATTTTCAGGCAATTTTGTGCAATCAGCAGAGGAGAGAGTGACGTTGAGTACATGAACGCCGATACTGTTTTCCGGATAAAGAGATACCACGATAGGCAGTCTCGCGGAGAGAATATATTGTCGATGATAGTTGAAAATATTCTTCGTCTTCGTCGTGTTGGGTTTAAATTCTTTGTGAGGCAGTCTGCTTCGAAAGAGAAAAGAAAAAGGAAAAACAGAGAGGCGGCATGGCGGTGGAAGAAGAGAGAACATGAAAGAGAATAAGCGTTTAAAAAGAACGAAGATAATGAAGAGATCTCAATATATATATATATAGTCTGATCGAGACGCTCCCCCGAAAGCAGAGTTTGACTTTTGACCGGAAGTTTATATTTATCCAGCTGTCATTATAATGAGTCGTGTGTTATTTAATATGTTTTAAAATTTATTTTTATTTATATACGAGAATAATACGTTTTTAATTATTAAATATATCCTTCTATATAATAAAATATATATTCTCAATTGCATAATAGTTACTAATATTCTTATATTAAATATTCTCAATTAATATTTTTTGTTTTTCTATAAATATTAATTTATTATCGCTTTTGTACATTTATATATACTTGTTTAATTTTCAATTAAATATAATACATCATTTTGAGAGAATCCCAAGACATAATTTGTCAGTTACATATTTCGAAGTTTAATATTTTGTAATAATCTTAGTACATATTTCAGTAATTTTCTTATCGAACATTTGTTATGAAAAATTTATAATTTTTTTGATAAGTTCAGAAATTATAATAATTATTATTATCAACTTAATATATAAATTATTTTATGTAAAATAGTGAATTAAGCACGTACAAACTACTAATTTAAACTATATTATTATACAAATAAAATTATACGAGAGTAAATATATATATATATATATAAGTTTTTGGTAAAAGATCTATCGAATGAATAAAATGTGAGGAAAAAAACAGTGATTAGTAACTTATATAATGTATAATTTTATAATATGTGAAAAACTAAAAATAAACACATAAAAATGTAATTATATTCAAATTTTATTTTTGTATTTAAATTATTATTTTTTAAATACCTATTAAATATTATATTAAATTATCACAATAAATAAATAAATTATTATTATATATTCTCACATTAAATTATTTATTTTAATATATTTAAAGGTATTTTTTATATTATGAAATAAATAAATAAAAATTATATTTATTATTATTTTATTTTAATTATTAGCTCTAAGTATTCCTTTTATGTGTAAGTGGGTGTACATATATATAAGCATTATTATAATTTCTCCTTTTATTCGTACTATTTTCTCTCTATGTAATTAATTAGTTTTAAGTTTATACTTACTCATTCCTGAAAGTATTTGGATAATGCTTGAGTTGAAATCGTGAATTAAAACAATAAAATTTATGAGAAATAAATGTTCCGGGTTTAAAATCATATTATTTTATAGAATTCAATTGAATTTTGGCTTTTTAAATAAATTCAACACAAGTGCAAATCTTATTTATAACAAGATAAAATTTTGTTCTTCATGTTATTGTGGAATCCTTCTTACTTCTTTTCTTTTTGTTCATTTGAATTTATTTTTAATCTTTTCCTCTTTCCATTTTGCGTAAACGTTGGACTTGGTCAATCGACCCTGACGGTGGGGAACCAAAAGATTGTACTGTGTGTTCTTGAGTATTTAACTCAACAAACATTTTCTTGGTCCAGGCGGCTGCACACCAAAAATACAGTGTCTTATCCTTGGTTCGTTCTTAATCCACCTCTGAAGAAGTGGCTCGCGTTGAATGCAATGAATCATATTCAATTTGATCTAACACTTTCAATCTTGGATGTCAGCTCAAGAATAATAACATAATACCGATGAATGTTGGGCAGAAATAAGTCAGATGCACAGAGATAAATGCTTGAGAGGTTTGTGGTTAGAGATAATCAGTAATGTAACACTTTTAAGGCAAGGCAAAGGAATTATTTTTCCTTCTTGATGGTTTTCTAAACTATGCAAACGACATTGATGATAAGTATTGTATATTAGTACAAGATAATGTCATAGATGTAGATATCTTCCTCGGCTGAATATATATGTCTGCATAAGAAGAGAAAATTTGTTAGCTTTTGTCTCTCACATAAATTACAAGCCCAGTTCATGAGAGAATGAGCCGGCCCTGTCCGGGAGACAAAACTTGGGCTCTTTCGTCACTGAAAACGCTGACATTCCTTGTTCGAAAATCAACCGTACCATTACCAGATTGCATTAAACATCACTCATCCCTTCCGTCATTGTGACGAAAATTGTGGGGGCAGAGAGCTTGAAAAGGAAAACTAGAATCTACCCGGACGGAAATATAGGAAAGAAAAAAACTAGAGAATTTCTTCATGAAACCCATCAACCCAAATATACTATATACCTTGCTCAACATCTCAATACATGTATATATAAGTCTATGCCAAGTTTGATTTGCTTGCTTCATCTCACTTGAATTCCTCTCCACGACAAATAAACACCTTAAACCAACCAAAACACCCATGTCTCTGAGCCCTCCTAGAGCAACCAACATCGACACTAGCCAAGATGCAAACAGGGCTTACCGGTCTTACTGGTGTTACCAATGTCATCGACCAGTAAGAATTGCCACCACTAATCCATCAGAGATAATTTGTCCTCGCTGCTTCAGCCAGTTTGTTACAGAGATGGAGATACCAAGGCCCAGATTGGTTGTTGATTTCACTGCTTTCGACCCTTCTCCGGAAGCCCGCTTACTCGAGGCCCTCTCCCTTTTACTTGATCCACCCATAAGGAGATATAATCATGGTGTTGATGGTCGACAACCTCAGCCTGGCCGTCGTTCTTGGTTTAGGCACCAAAACCATATTGATAATGAAACTGAAAACGGGCAGCAAACATTTGGCGACCCCGCAGCTGAAACTCAGCCTCGGCATAGAAACCGTACAGAGACTGAAACCGAAACAGTGCAGCGAATCTTAGTAGACCCTGCTACAGAAACTACTAGACCCCGACGCCATAGACGTCGCAGTCGAAGTACTGATGCCAGTACTAATCATGAGCCAGAAACAGATGTGCTGCCTCGTCCTAGAACATGGATTATAGTCAGACCTCTCGATTCTAGAGGAACTGCTGAATCCATTTGGCAGCCACAAGGTGTCCTACCTCCGGGTGTCAATCTAAGGGACTATTTCTTTGGACCACGACTTAATGAATTAATTGAGGAATTAACAGAGAATGATCGGCCAGGCCCACCACCCGCACCCAACTCTCTAATTGATGCAATACCGACAGTGAAAGTAACCCAAGAGCACTTGAACAACAGTCAAGAATGTCCAGTTTGCAAGGAGGAGTTTAAGGTTGGTGGAGAGGCAAAAGAGTTGCCTTGTAAACACGTATACCATACTGACTGCATTGTCCCTTGGCTAAGGCTTCACAATTCTTGCCCTGTATGCCGCTTAGAGTTGCAGGATACCGTGGAACCCCATGAAGAGGGCATGAGCAGAAGATGCTTAAGGTTGAGGCAGTTGGCAGCTAATCTCTGGCCATTTCGTGCAAGGAACAGACAAGTTAACCCACAAGGTGAAGATACTGGAGCTTCCCAAGCTCAAGGTAACCAGAGTTTAAGTTCTGTTTGATATGCGGCAAACAGGTATCGATAGTCTCGTTTTATGCTTTCGTTCTAATGAGTGAAATTCAACAACTAATTAATGGGTATTTACCAGTCCAAAATAGAAAACTTACATCTAATCTCTAACTGAAATGTACAGGAAATATTAGTACTGTACTTCCCTAAGCGGGGATTAGAATTAGAATTAGAAGAAAGATGATTCAAATATTAATTTATAATTAAAATTCCCGTCAAGATTAGTCTAGTAATTAAGAGAAGGAAATTACATCAAACATCTTTAAAATGTGCATAGCAGAATTGGGAAAAGCAAGGGCAGGTATAAAGTCAACAAAGTCAACAAGAAGGTTTGGGGAAATGATGGGGTCAGACAGAGAGGGGATAGAATGTTTAAATGGTAAAGTATCTGATAAGAAAAATGCACCGCATGGTTATATATGTACGATAGGGTGTGTGCTATAGCATATCTCATGCCTTAATTAGACATAAACATAAAATAGCAAATACTTAGAGATGAAACTTGCTTATCTGATGGATTTTTTTATTCAATTCTTTATGCATGCTATAATCATATGGTTAATGGATTAGTTCATAAGTCTCCCGTGATTTTCATCATGCACCTCATCTTTACACTGAATCCCTCTTTACTTTTCCAGAAGTTCAATCACGTGGGCATGGTTGTCATATTCTTTAGTCCTTCCAATGCAGAAATCTTATATGGAGTTTGTGGTTAAAATTTCTAAATGTCTAAACTACTCTGCAAGGAATGAAGGAGAAGAAGTCGTATACAGCCAGAGTAGTTTTTTGGTATCTCAAAGTATCATTTCACCCCCTATTCCAACCTTCTTAAGTTTGCTCATAATTCTATGTTATAATCCTGTGAAAATTACATAAAGAAGGTTAAAGATGTTTTCGTTCACTAACTTATTAAATATCAATACCATGTGAACCTACGGACTGTATAATTGACATGTCACGCTCTACTAAATCGAATCCACAAGCAAATGCGTTTTGGGCGATAGCGGGATTCGCATTATCAGGTTACTATGGGCAGAAAAAACCCTCAACAGGGACAATGTAACACAACAGATAAAAGTTGGGAAAAGACTATGATCCTAGGCTGTGATTGATGGAGGAGAAAGGGGGAGGAGAGAAAAAAATGGGTTGAAAGCAATTTCCTTCCTCCAATTGGGATCAGAGAAAAGGTTTAGTCAAGGAAATTGAGAAGATTACAGTTTTCCTCTCTCTTCTTACATATCAAAATCCTCCCAGTTTAGGAGAATTTGAATTTTTGTCTTTCTTCTCACTTTTTTAATCTACTCTATACCAAAATAATAGTGGAAAGATTTTCTTCTCATCTCATGTTTCATCTGTTCTTAGTTTCATCTCCTATCAATCATTCCTTACTTCGCTCAACTGAACCTTCATATGTTATGTGTATCCAAGAAGTTGCTCCCCTAACACCGATCTATCTGCTTAATTTTGTTGGCATGATCACAAGTCAATTCACTATTTAAAAGGTTCTTAACTGGCATGCAAATTAACAGAAATCAAAACCTGATCTTGGTGCAGGCTCTTCAAATTAAGATAGCTTTCTGGCATCTAAAATTACTACAACGCACTCCTATAAAGCTCTGCTCCGAGTAAACACACGCAACAAGCAAGAGATGCAAACAGGCCGTGAAAATCAAGCTTACTTCTCTACGTTGGTCAAAGGAAAAAAGTAGATACTGCCATTGTTGTGTCAGAATAAAAGAAATTGATGTACATACAAACAATAAGAGAAATTACTAGCACTACTAGAATCAGCATCAATAAAAATGTTTGAGTTACTGCTAATTTCAAATTACTTTGATATAACAACATCCAACTGCGGATATAACATAAGCCTAGAGAACCTAATAGCCAAAAGGGGGAAAATAGAGAAAATAGAAAGCGAGAGGTGGAATTATTTACAGTAGCGGTCGGCTTTTTTCTTAACGCGATCGTCGAGGGCGTCCTCGACGGTTTTCAAGGTGGACTTGGGATCGTAACCGAACTTCTTTGCCTCTACGGGGAAGAGCTGGCCGTAGTTCAAGCGTTTCGCTGCATCGATGGTGTAGGTCTCCCCCGCGGCCCCAGCGTCGGATGGTGCATCGGCGGACGGCTGAGATGCGTCGGAGCCGTCGAGGTTATCGACGTCCTTGTCCTTGAGTTTCTTAGAGTGTTTCTTATGCTTCTTGTCAATGGATTTCCGAGTGGCCAAAGCCCCTCCCTTGAAGGTCAGACGGCCCCCCTTTGCCTTCTCGTAGGGATCCGACATCCTGTTTGTCTTCCCCGATTTATTCCTTCGGAGTTTTTATCCAATTCCGGGAAATATTATCACTTTTTTCCTGCGTTCTCCACTTTCGACTCGCTAATTTACTTTTACACTTTAATAGTCGCCTCACCAACTCTCTGTGTTTCGATTTGGGTTGGGGAGGAGAACTGGAAATTAGAGCATAGAAAATTACTCGGCGGTTAGCAAAAACTAAATCGGTAATATTTGATTATTTCTCTTTTTTTTTTTTGTCAAAAAATAAATTTTTGCTGGTGGAGAAATTTTTTAACAGTTGAGAAAAATTAAATCAATAATGTATTTATTATTTCTCCCTTTTTGGTTAAAAAAACAAAGAAAGATATTTTTGCCCCCTGTCTAGTCTTTCCTCCTCAATCTGCTTTAACTTGTTCTAACATGGTTAGAACAGATTTTAATTAAATTCAAACCATGTCCGATTTCAGAACTAATTATGCATATAATACTACTCTTAAATTAGTGTATAAATGAATATAATGTATTTACATATAATAATATTACACCGACCTTCGTTTCTGTTTCAAACAGAGCAGAGAAATAATTCCATCGATTTAAAATTACTGTGCTCAGGCGAATATGTAACTTGAACCTTTCCGTGAATTCCTCAAGGAGCAATGTCATGTTAACAAGTACAACAATGTCGCCGCAACTCCAGAAATCCTTTGCTTAATAAACCAAGGACAGTCCTAAAAAACTCATCTATAATTCAACTCAGTAGACCGACAGGAAATTCTATTCCCAAGGTTGTAGTTAAGTCATGTTCAACAATTCAACTGCGCTTAGGTTGATGGTGAGTACCGGCATAAAACCCTTCTGTATATGCCGTGTTCTTGTAAATTGTCTGCAAAAAACACATACTTGTTACCATTGAATATATCTATAATTTGAAATCAAAGGGAATTAAGAACAAATTCTAAAAATCTGTAAGACAATGAAATACTAACAGCGAGGTTCTTCAAATCCGAGCTAAGGCGTTTTCTTAAACTGTTTACCAAGGCAGTCCCAAGCTGTTCCCCTTGTTGCTTAACATTTGCCTCCGTAATCTGCATATAATCACTGTGAATCCTAATCCACAAATATAAACATCATGAAAGATCTTAAAGATGGAGTTTCCTCACCTCTGAGAGCAATAGAGAAGATGTTTTATCTAGAATCTCTTCCACAAATTTCTCGGGATCCTTGAAGAGCAGTGATGGCTGAGCAGCAGGGGCCGAGTTCTCCTTGACATGTTGCATATTACTGGATGGCTTTTTTACTTTTGCTGTGTCAACAGAAGAACTTACATGTAATATCGATAAAGGTCACTCAGAGAAACAAAAGACTCAATTCCGAAGCTTATCAATCAACATATAATTACAAATTTAGAAGATTAAAAACAAATATATTTATGCTTACATCTTGCTAACCTTAAGTCTAGGATTAATGTGCACCACTACCATGATGAATCTCATTGCTTGACAAGAAAGTAATTTTTATGTGATTGATCCATTCAAGCCAGTTCGATAAATTCATTTCATAATGAGCACCTGTTTACTTATCCCACATCACAGAGCAAAAATATGTATAAGGTCTACCAATCTAAATAAGATTACGAATTCTTGTGCAAGTAACCCTAATATTGGAAATATTTAAGAACTTGGAGTTTATGAAAGCATGGCCTCCATTATTGTGGTCACTGTTGCAATCCAAACACTCCTCCTAAGGATTACTATCATGAGAAGTAAACATTGAGAATGTAAACCATTCAAGTAGAGCAACTCATGACAAAACTCAAATACTTTCTGTCAATGAATAGTAATATTTAACAACTGAGAGAAATAATTAAATAACCATACAGCACCCTTATCCCGTGGGATTGACTTAAAGGGTATATTACTGACAATGCACCACCTCTAAAGGTGATGCATACTAGTGAACTCTAAAGTAGTACAGAAGAATTTGTGCTAGAGATCTCTTGCTAAAAAGACTGAATGACAACCCAATATATAGCAGAGGCTACTGAAAGAAACAAGAGGAAAAACACTTGTTAGGGCTTCTGAAAGCACCTTCTTAAACAGAAAAGTAGGAATTTCTTTTTGGAAATGATTTTTTTTTCCTGTGTTTTTTGCTTTGTTCAATCTAATTGGTTTTGAGACATCAAACTCAATATCATTATCAAAACAAATTCACATTCTTTCCCACCATTCCCCAGATAAATATCCAATCATCTCATCAAGTTTACATTTGCTTGCTACAGAAACCTTCTTGTATGCATCATGTTTGAGGTTATGCAATGGAACATCAAATAGACTTGAATCCATGTGCTAAGCAAATAAATACCATTCTATGAATCATGGAAAGATAGAATCCCTACAAGTCGGAAACCAAACAGTAAACTGAAACTTTTTGCTGATAGAATTACCTGCAACAGACTTGCTATCCAGAATAACATGATTTCCAGTAGAAACTTGTGAAGATGCTACTTTTTCTGGAGTATCTGGCAGAACTGTGGAACCAGATGGAACAAAAGCAGCAAGATCAGGGGGCTGATCCTTCCCCACCATAGGGTTAGCCTAAGAAAATAATAGATGATCAATTAGTGGCCAAAAGAATTATTTAGTGAAAGGAGAAACAAGCACACCAAATTCACCTCTAGATCAATGTATGCTGAATCCCTCCCAATTGATTTCAGAAACTTGTCAAGACCACTAGGAGCAAGAACTGCAAACAGTTAACAACTTTGATAGGTAACAAGCTGGGTGGATTACTGAACAAAACTCAGAGTGATTTAACAACATAGAATGTAAACCAATCATTTCTTTTTAATACAGAGAATGTACGTAGATGATAACTGTAAGAGTATATAAAGCTTCACAAATAAAAAAAAAAGTAAAAGAATAAATATCCAGCCAGAAATTTAAAAATAAATGAAAATGAATTGGAAAATCAACAATCAGCAAATTGAGCTATGGAAAGGTCAACAGAATGAAATGGACCCTTCCCAAGAGAAGTAAACAAGCAAAGAGCACAAGCAGGATAGCCTTTCTACAATGCCATTCACAATTTTGTTAGATGCACATCTTACGTGCACAATTTTCAAGATTTTCAAACAGGATTAATTTGAGAGGACTGACCGAAATTCACACCAAAAAGCCTAGCCAGACAGTATCCTTCAGTGCAACTTTGGACACAGATATTTTAATATGGCAGTAGCATGAAAATGTCACAGTTTGCTGTTCTCACTTGGAGCAATGTGGAAGATTCAATCCACACATGTACATTCTTCCAGCAGCTACTCATGCAGAAATAAAAATAACCTTGTTGCTTTACTCTTTTGTTTCTTGTTTTTTTATGTGGGGATCCAGGAGACAGAAAAACTTGTTTACTTTTGAAGAAGATCAATTAGAAAAAGGGTAAGTGATGCGGAACACAAGATTAATTAATGTAATAAAAAATTCCGTATATAACATCAGTATTTAGAATCATAAAACTCTCAACAAATCCTCCCTACTTAACCCAATAATTCACCTAAAATTATGAAACAAGGTAATTGGGATATTTTGAATTGATTAAAAATGGCATAAATATGAACTTAATAAGTTAGAAAGCAATTCGAAAGAAAATTGAATTCTCTAAAATCAAGGTAATCAAGCTTTGTTTAGGACATTTCAAATAATTCTAGAAAAAGACAGTGGTATAAAAATTCTACAAGTAATGAGTTCAAACACATGAATAAAGATAATGTGTGTTTTATGTATGATACTTAGTAACTAGAATGCAAATTAGCCACTTAAACATGTAATGGAACAAAAATACAATAAAAGAAAGAAACTTAGAAGATGAGAAGGACAATATGAATATGAATTTTTTTTTTTTGTTTTTGAAGCACATGAACGATGCAAAGTATTTTTTCTATAAAGAATAACAAATATGCAAAGATAAAATATACAAGATAGTAAGATTTATCTTGAGACTAAACTCTTATACCAATTAATGCGGAACCGAGAATCAACTAACATGATCAAAAACTCCGCATATAACATTAATATTCAAAATCATAAAACTCTCAATAAATTCTCCTTATTTAACCCAATAATTCACATGAAATTATGAACTAAGTTAATTGGGATAGTTTGAATTGATTAAAAAAACCACAAGCATAAACTTGATAAGTTAGAAATCAATTCGAAAGAAATTTGATAAAACAGCATAAGCACTTATCTTGATAAGTTAAATCAATTCCACTCAATAAGAAGGTAGATGAAAACATAATTAGTTGAAAACTAAAACTTCATAATTTTATTATTTTCGAACTTTATTAATATAACTGTAAATTGATGACCTATTTATAGTATAGGTTATATGAAAAACAAAAGAAATAATCTTCTAAATTAATTTCAAAATTACATAGGAAAATAAATTTAGCATAGAATAGAAAACTTGCAATAATTACAATAGTTTTTTTCAAAAATATGATATATATGATCTCCTTGGTAGAAACATTTTTTAAATAAAGAAGATCTTAATTAATTGTGACTGATTTAGGGATAAGAATTTAAATATGTTTTCATTTTCCGCAAGATTTGGCATTTAGGGAGTTTTCTTCTTTTCTCAAACAAACTTGCGATTTATAATCAATGTCGTCCCTTGACCAATTCTCCCTCTCAAGAAGAAAGATTTCCCGCAAGATTAAGAAAGAAAATCACTCGAGAGTTTTTCTTTTCCTTGCTCACATCAGTAAGGTGTTACAAACAAGATTTAGAGGATAAGTAGTTCCAACCAAAACATGAAAGTACAAGGAGATAAAAGCAAACACATTAAGGAAAAACTTAAATTCTTAAAGAGGGGTTCTCTAACAGAACATTCCTCCAAATATCGTCCAATATTACAAAAGCATAATAATCCTGCAAAATCATCAGCGCGACGATTCAAGATTATAATAAAAGAGGAAATAGGAAAAGGCATTTTTTAGAGAGATTTAACATCACTACATTAATTGGCAATATAAGCATACTAACATCATTATGTGTTTCTAGAAAAGAGAGTTGGCTGCTATCTCCCAAAAGTCCAGAAAGGGATGAGAATTGTCGTATAACTTTTCTGTTAACAAATTACAGTGAAGGCAAACCTACCTTCTAGGTGGAAATCTAACCCAATTGGCTTTGAACTGTGTCTTATATGTATATGAAATATATATATATGTAGTCTAGTGATCCTTTTCACTTACAAATTGACGTGTCATTAGACAATGGGTGGAAGATGCAGCGGTCTTGACTTTTGAATCCTTGATCGAGCAAGAGCGAAACATGTCTTCATAAAAGGAAAGATTTAACATAGCATAAATTAAGGCAAAGCAGTAACCAAAAAAATATTGCAAAAGGCATGCAAACATTTTAGCTCAGTTATAGGAAGGAAGATAATAGGGTTATTATTCTATTTAGGAAGTTTACCATGAATTTTTACTTTTAAGGTGATACGAGATTTGTGTAGGATCACATGGGATTGCTAAGATCTAGGGAAAAAAGAGAAATCAGTACCTAGGTTCAACTAAGTATGCAAAAGACATCAGTAAAAGGGAGCAGGAAATACTTTTAAACAAATGTTTAGAGTTCTTTGTTTTTTTTTTTTTGAAAGAACAAATGTTTAGAGTTCTTATCTCAAATATCTAAGATGTTTGGTTCAGCTTTGTTAGTTTCCATCCCCAACTTTGAAGAGTAATGAAGCTTTCCTAGCTTTGGCATCTCAACCCTTCTGGCATAACCTGTACTTTATCTTGACCACCATGCGCTACCCAAAAATTAAAAGAAAAAAAAAGAGGTTCCAACTTCCACTCGAAAATGACATAATCCTTCAGTCTATAGAGATAGAGGTTTTTAGACACGGATCCAATGATACCCATTCCGCCCATCATTTTTAACAAGACAGTACACCACCTGTCTAGCCAAATGATCTCTCAAACCCACCTACCCAAACCAAAAAAAATTCCTCATCACCCTCTCGATTTTGTCAGCTATACAAGATTTACAATACAAGGGAATGAATTTCACCAAACAAATGTATTAAGAGGGTTAAGTGTTAATAAAGGCATCAATAACCTCAAATTCAATACTCAATATGGAAAACTTTGAAGGTGCATAATCTTATAGATGAAGGATAAAGCACTGTTTGAAAGAAAGAAACACCATCTCAATGCATCAAGCAAATGAAAAGAAGTGCTTACCGTGCCGATTCATTTATTAGTGCAAATGGAGTAACACATCCCAGCGGCACCTTGCAAAGTCAAAAGCACATACACAAGATAAGATGTAAATTTATAAGCAAACAATCTTTTAGTTCCTGGTCAAACTAGAAAATTCCTTTCCTAATGACTAACTGGTGGTATAAATAATGGCTAAATGCCTAGAGAGAAAGCAATATGTCACATGAAACACCAATAAGTTAAAACCTTTGCAGCTGAAATCAGCAGAAAACCAACAACCACCTGTTCCAAATATTCACTATTTATTCAATCGCATAGCCAAACTGCTACCAATTTGTATCTCCTTAGCACAAGGAAATGCTATACTGCAGTAGCTTTGGTATTAAGAAAATTTTATACAAATCCACATGGTAAAGTGGTCCTTATAAATAAAGCATTACAGAACAACAGAATCTAAAACAGAAATTGATACATCACACTATATGCACATAAAAAAGATCTGAGGCAATCTGTGCGCAACCTATAAAATTTAAAAGGAAGAAAAAGAGAACAAAACTCAGAACGCAGGCTAATGAAACACATAACTGCACATTTTTGGGTACAAGATGCATCTCTTCAACTGGCAGCAGCTGAGGTTTGCCAAAGTTTACAGCTAATAGGCTAACAATACCAAAATATGAAGAATTGATAACCTTTAATGTGAAGCTGCAGATAATCAAAATGACTTCACAGTATTTTCCTGAATAATGAGAAAAGAAAACGTGCAAACAAAACAAGAACTGAAGTTTACGATTAAACGTGCTTATGAATGCTTGATGTACTTTGATTCTAGATTTCCCAGGAAATTAATGTATCTTACCACCATCAACTTTCAATCAAGCTCTAGAAGAATGTCATTTGCTCATACAAGTAGTGACAGAATACATAAGAATTTATCTTTTATCTCTGATTCTCCTTACTGAGACTAACATCGGCAACTTCTCAGAAAGAAAAAAGAGGAAAAGGAAAAAAGAACCAACATCTATGACATTCACTAACTTACATTTCAGGATTAGAAATTCTATGCCAATAGAAAAAGCTAGAAGCACTGACAGTAGCAACTGCATCAACTCAATGACCGGTTCAGAAATTAAATAATAATACGGAAAGGAAAAGGAACATGGAAGGAAAAAATTATTCAAAACATATTATGCCCACCTGCAGTATCTCACCCAATGCCTCTTCCGGAGCCATTCTCAGACCTCCTTTACCTAAACCAAGCCTTTGAGATAAAACTGGTCATCTCGAAATTATATGGAACACCCATTAGCATCCAAGAAATGTTGACAATATCAGGGAAGAGATCAATGGTAAGACAGCTATACAGAACACAGAAAATACCTTTCATATCCACTTTCGTATCTGCCATAGCAGAAACAATGTAAAACCTATGTTTCTTGTCCTGCATAAATAGATATCAAAAACCATTCAGCCACGAATAAAAGAGAAGAGAAAATGGCAATTTTCATTAGAAAATACTTTGCGTATCAATATCATATCACCTCATGCATCTTACCTTTAAGAACAAATTTTTACTCAGTGCACCTCCCATGTTCCCGACATACTTTGCCTGATGAGAAAGAAAAGATAAGAAATTCAAAGTCTATAGATTTGTGCGTGTTTGCATATTAGCAAGGGTGTGAAAAAGAAACCAACTTTTCCATTCTTGTTTTACCTGGGCCTCAACTGTTAAAACCACAGGATGCTCATACTTTGCATGGTCAATCTGAAGCTCCTAAACAATCCCAATAAAAAAATTGGTAAAGGTAATAACATGCTTGAAAGAGAGTTATCATCAATAAAACTAGGTCCTAGATGGCAATGCAAAAGTATAAGAACTTCCTCAAACAATTTAACCTAGTAAAATAAGACAATGACCATCAATACCCAAGTGCAGAAAAATACAAAGAGTTTCAACTGAAAAAGAATGCACTTACAAATGTAGGTCATCCAACTCAATTCTCTAAAATTTTAAGGAAAGTAAGTCTCTGATATTCCACAAATGAGATACTGACATCACATATCTTAAACTAAAACACTTGACAATTGAAATTCATATGAAGCAACAAAAAAAAGATGGGTCTTCCACTGGAACAATATGTAGTATTTCAATCCAACGTCAACAAGATACGTGATTAATAAATTCTCATAAGTGTTATAAGTTACATTTTACTAATAGCTTAATCATGAGATTTTGAGAGTCAATTGTTTCCGTATGAAAAGCTATTACGCCAATAGTTTGGGCACAGAGCACTACAGGAGGTATATGGTCCTGGACTAGTATGAAAGAGAATCCTATTTGTTCCCAAATTGATAAGTTCCCGAGTCGATTCATGCATTGAGGCAGTAGCAGGTGTCATTCAATTGCTTCCCTAAAGTGACATCTAATCATCTCCTATTTGTTTGGACTTAAACTAAGTCTATTAGAGCCTGCTGCTTTCTATTTTTGAAAATATGCTATTGAAGGTGGACAAGTTTGTGATCTTGAGAAAGTATGTTTAAACTAATAGATCAAGTTTAAAGTCACTATAATACTTTTTGGGTTAACAGAACAGTGAAGCAGTGAACAAAAATTCTTTTAGATGTGTGATAACAGAGAAAAGTTGTTTCGTTGAGGTCAATTGTCTAGATTGGAAGAAGTTTCTTGGGATCCTTTTTAGCAAGTACCAGGAGATAAAAGTTTAGTTAAGTAGGAATTATCCAACTTGCTACTCCTAGAAGAAATCATCTAGGCCCTAGAGGTGGATCGAGAACTCTTTGGATCAAAGAAGGTGAAAAGAACCAAGTTCTTTCATAATATAAGCAACTTTTTAAAAGAAGTAAATTGTTTCTAGAAGTGGTTTTGAATGATAAGGAGGTTCAGGTTGAGTAGTATTTAAGAAAAGCCATACTCACTTGTATTTTGAGACGTAGCAACCAAACTTGAAGGTTTGGAGTTTGCCCTCCTGGCCAGGTGAATAGAACTCATTTAGAGAGGGCTTTAACAAGGAGGATATAATTGTTTCTTTGCATACTTATACTAGTGATAAAGCTCCCAAACCCAATGGTTCTTTTATGGATTTTTCCAACATAATTGGAACACTATCGAGAGTGACATTTTGGAAATGCTCAAGGATTCTATAAGGCAGAGCAGTTTGTTGCTAGCTTCAATGCAACCTTTTCTTGTGCTTTTTTGAAGTAGACAGTGTAGAGAACTTAATATTTTAGACTGACTTATCTTGTAGGGAGAATTTGCACAATAATTTCTAAGGTCCTTGCGAGTAGGTTGAGCCACGGGGTTGATCTTGTGGTCAACCTACTCGCAAGATCAACCACGTGCATTAGATATTGTGGAGGCGAATGGATATTAGATGCATTATGTGCAGATTAGTTGGCAGGGAAAGTAATTAAGTTGCCACTTGGTGTTGTGCAACTTCAGGCTCTTCTGTCATAGATGGTCAAAGCATTGTTCAAAAGATTTCTGAAAAAATTGTCGATGCTCTCATAAAGAATCATAATAGAGGTCTTCTCTGTAAATTGGATCACAAAGAGAACTTACGAGCACTTGTCACAATCATAAAATCTAAGGCTAGGAGATTCTATCCTTTTTATTTAAAAAAAAAATATCCGGCAAGGAGATTCTTCTCTTGCTTTTATTTATATTTTGGCCATGGAAACTTTCAACTATATGTTTTTGAAAGCCAAAAAGGTGAATCTGTTCTGAGGATGGATTTTGATCAAAGGACAATCTAAAAACTCATCCAAACTAATATTGTTGATGATATCACTACTTTTTTGTAAGCCAAATATGAGAGATCCTCAAAACATCAAATGCATACTTCCATGTTTTCATGCAGAGTCAAACCTTGAGGTTAACTAGTGCAAATTTGAAAACCCTGCTGGTGAAGGAGTGGTGACTGAGAAAATGGCTTTATTTTTGGGTGGCAAAATTGGCCCTTTCCCAATACAATTCATGACTTATAACTGAGAGCATAAACTAAAGATGCTAAAACCTAGGAAACCATTGTTAGTAGGGTAAAAAAGAGATTAGCGAGGTGGAGGATAACATTATGTTTGGCTTTGGAGAAGTGGGCCCACCATTTATTCTCTTATTTGGATTAAAAAAAATTAATAAAAATAAAGGGAAAGTGAGCATCCCTTGCTCTCCCTTAAAAAGTCAAATTTTCCATTCCTCAAATTTGCGAAAAAAGATAAAATGAAAAAGACCTTAAATATTCAAAGGTTAATTTTCTATTTTGTTTTTTTTTTTTTAATAAATTTTCGATTTTGTCTGTTCTACCTTAATGGCCCAACTTATCATTTTATCAATGAAGGATCTGAATGCAATTTTCTAATAATTACATCAGTCCTTTGCTTTACAAACCTAAACCAAATAAAACCTTATAACAATACTTTCTATTCCTTTATTCACAATTTTTTGTTATAGAAACAAAGAAAATGTTTTGCCTTTCATTTACTTTAAGAATTCCTTTTTCCTTTCTGATCCTTAACAAATTCTTATTCACACAGTGTAAAGGTTCTAAGGATGATAACTTAAACCTTCCTATTTTTTCTTTCCCTGTCCCATATACTCGCTGGGAATCCGGAGGATTGAAATGTAAGTATTGTACTTTAAAAGAGGTTTTTTTTTTTTTTGTTTGGAAGAAAAATGTTTTAAAAGCAGTAATTTATCCTTTTTCCTTTCGAACCTTTTCAATTAGGAGAAGCAAATATTGGCTGCTTTGGGGAACTACTATGTAGGTGGAACAAAATTTGCATTTGCAAAAAAAAAAAAAAAAAATGAACTGACAAATTTTTACTAAACCAAATTACAGACTTTTCAAAAGACCACACAAACATGTACAATATATTTGCTACTCTAAAAAACAATTCTCAAATGTAATGTTCTGACAATATTTTTTTTTAAATATATATTCTGACAATATTTTCAAAAGCATTATTAACGAAACAAAATATTATATCTAACATCCTCAAGACTTCAACTGCATTTTATAGAAAAAATTATTGATCGATATACTTTCTTTTTAATAACAACAAGCTTTTAAAAACAACTTCCTTCTTACAAAAAACTTTTTTCTACTGCAACATCAGCAGACAAAGTATATGGCTTTGGAAAACATTAGGCAACTTATTAACAGAGGTTGTTCAAGGATAAGTTCCCTAGAAGGCTCTCAATAAGGCTTTGCTGGCAAAGTGGTAATGAGGTTTCTACTATACAGAGATAGCTTCTGGTGGAAATAATTAGAATAAACTCTTCTGTTCCAAACGGTGGCAGGATTTCCAGTCAGGCACATTGAGTTCTAAGTAAATTGTGGTTTAGCACAGGCAGCAAATTCTGGGTCGACGTGGATTCTTTCAGTAAGTGTCATAAATGTGAGAGTTGACAAAAATATCTTGCTTCACAAAATCTTAACCGCAAACATTTATTTTAACTATTTGTCAAATCACATTTTAAGTTTCTGCAATCTGTCTGGTATAAGCAATTATTGGCAATTCAATTAGTAACAATATCTCAAAGCCACTCAATTCCTAGTGAGCGGTTGGCGAAATTTAAGTTCCTACATGTACAGGCCTACAGCCAACCTACTCCAAGCACAGAATATGGCTCATTTTGACAAGAAGAATCCAGTCAAAATATGAGCACTACAATGAGCGCCCCTTAATGCAGTTATAAGTTCAGCTCGGAATTTCTTAGAAAACCAGCTACAAACAATACGAAAAGAATTTCAGTTAGACCCAAAAAAAAAAAAAAAACGTTTTATGAGGTGCCATCGCACCAGGTTATCAGAATACCAGAAAAAACCACTGTACAAACGCAAAAATAGCTAAAACGAAAGTCAATCAAGAGAATGAATATATCTTCATCCTAAACAGTAACTTTCAATTGACGCATAACAAGCCTATTCCCATCTTGTTAGCATCCCCATGAACTCTTGTATTACCGAATTTCAGGGGAAAAAAAAAAAAAAAATAACCATACATTATGTATAAGAAAAAAATGGCATAATTTATAAATTCCAACTAGGGTGCTTAAAAAACGAATAGATGAAACAGAAAACCTGCAATCGGGTAAGCAGTTGATCCTTCGAATAACCCATTCTCTTTTAGGCAACAGTTAACTGTACTGAAGATCCGCGGGAGAATCTTCGCCTAGCAAAAAAAAAAAAAAAATTGGAACAAAAAATGTCATGAGATAACAGAATATATTTAAGGTTTAACATAATTGCAAAGAACTGTCATCAACGGCTCACTGATTTTCTGCTTCACGCTTTCTTCACCTTCTCACTTTCCCTTCCTTTTCCTTCTAGCACGGAGAGCATCAAGATGGAGAAGAAAGCTTATGCGGCTCTGCCTTCGTTTCCACTTTTTTTTTTCTCTCTCGCAAATTTTATCCCACCCCAAAACGACGTCACTTTGGAATCCTTAAGAGGCCAGGGCGGCTGCTCGGCTGGCCCTGGTCTGATTGGGCTAGATCGGACTATATTGGGCTCCATTTTCAACTGGGCCTAGGTTTTAAATTTGAGAAAGATTTAGGCTTTGGAAGAATTTAGATGGACTTAATGGAGATGGGGTTTAAGGAGAATAAAATGGATTAGGGTTTGAGTGATGTGAATGAATTTCTCTTTCTTTTTCCTAAAAGAAACTAAAAGATGATTTTTTTTTTTGGGTTACAGTAAAAAATGATTGTTGAAGTTGAAGAGCTCTTAGAATCTCAAAAGTGGTCCATCAACTCTACCATACGTTCAAATAATTTTTCAATAGTCTGAATTTTTACAAGCTCCATAGTTCAAGTCTAAGCATATTGGTACTAATCTGATAAAACGTGTAAATTAAGATCACTATTTTAGTTTTGTGAATAATTTCACTTAAAATGAAGCCCTACAACCTATGCATAACTACATATTAACTTGATTTCTAATGACTTTGAAATAGTCAGAAAGTGAAATCAAATCAGGTTCAATTGATCTAAACATTATCATTTTCTTCTACAGCAAAAGCACGTCGATATAAATAACAGCAATTAATCAGTTTAGAGCATTTAAACATCGTTCGCCATACAAAAGAATCCCCTCAAAAGTACTTCCTTTTAACAGGATATAGCAGCTCAAAAACCCTTTGCCTTGATCACTATGTAACAAATAAATCAGCGCGATGAATCAAAAGAGACACCTAAGGCACTCCATCAAGATATCAGTGTGTTCCGGCTTCCCTGCTGATATGCGAATATAACCTTTCAACTCTTTGCTATTATAGTGCCGCACCATCACGCCTTTTTTGGCAAGATCATCCTGTAATATAAACAATTTTGGCATATGACTATGATTAAGAGCAAGAATATCTGCAATTGCATTAACAATGTGAATTTTCACGAAAGCTATCTGTAGAGAAGGTTCTATTTACTAAGATGATGTTCTAGACTTCTAGTCAAAAGCTATTTGTCAAACAAAATAAATTTTTGTAAAATTTATTTAAAGATCCACATTTAAGTTTCATGAAAATTGACCTCTTAATAGATTGCAACTTGAATGCAAATAATAAACTGCACATTCAATCAGAGTTCCATGAAATACAGTGTTAGATTTAAGCAAAATAAAGAGTTCACGCATGAGCGATTCAAACTGCATAAGAAGCTATTAATATAGTTGTTACATGCACAACATTATACGGAAAACAATTGCAAGGGATTAAAACAACCACCAATCTCATCGTTCTCACCACCAATAGTGACTCCTCAAAGAAATGCACGTTTATTAAACAATTATTTTCACTGTGATAAAGTCAAAGGAACTGAAGATGTATCATGTTTAAATCTATTTAATTCTTCTTTTTCCAAATAGGTTTTCTTTAAATCAATTTCCATATGGTTTGAAAGATATTCAAAACATACCTTCAGCTTCTTAGCATCAATTCCAGATGTAACCTCACAGAGAATGAAATTAGAATAGCTCGGATATGGGACAAGAAATGGTACTTCCTTCAAAAGTTTAAAGAGCCTATTTCGCTCTTGCACCAAAGCATCTTTAACCTCCTGGTAAAAATCATGCCCTAATATTAGGAGTAATGCGCAACCACGAAAGATCTTGTTCGGAACATCTTGTCAGATAAGAGAGCGAAAGGCATTTCAATTAATTTAGCACCTTCAGATAAGTGGGATTCTGCAAGGCTGCCAATGCAGCGACTTCTGCAGCAACAGAGACATTATATGGCTGTTTTGCTCTCCATAGATACTTGATTATGCTCAGCGGAAATGCACCATATCCAACACGAAGTCCAGCCAGACCTGCATCATATTACATTCCTAAGAATAATATGATAGAAACTGACTCAAGCAATGCACAAGGAAAAAAAGGCATGCATATGATTTCATCTTTTCCTCACAGTTACACAAAGCATGTGGCTTTAGCCGCCAAAAAAATTAGCATATATACAAGAAATTTTAGTTAATGAAGACAGAATTTTGCAAGTACTGTATATTGTCGTGTTTGGCTTACTGCCTGGATCACCAAAAAGTTGCAGAGGCTCTGAATATTCACAGGGGCAAGCAGAAAAAAAGTAGCATAAGCAGAAGAGTCATCCCTCTTAAGCTCATTTGGAATGTACAAAAACATAAATTTCCGAGTCAGGCAATTAATGAAGCAAGGAAGAACTAGTGGCGCTGCTAATTACCAGCTGCTATGGCAGAAGTAGCAGAAGTCTTCCCTTTTTTTTTTTTTTGGAAAAGGGAAAAAATCAATATAAGTATTACCAGAAGTAACACGGGAAGGACACATTATCATACTTTACTCACTGTGTAAATCAAAATTATACAAGACCCAATTAGAAAAGACAAGAACTTGTGCAATCTTACCAGCTCTTTTGCTAAAGGTTCGTAGAACAATCAAATTGTCATACTTTTTCACCCATTTCATCCTAGATTCAGTCCCTGAAAATTCAATATATGCCTCGTCTAGCACAACTAGTATAGGCATCTCAAGGATCTTCAATAGAACTTCATCATTAATGATGCTGCCAAATAAAGTTAACAAAGACAATAAGCCATCAAAAGTAAATTTACAGCAGAAACCCAGAAAGTGAAGAAACCAAATACCTCTACACGTATTGAACTAACCAAATAATTATAAACACATCACAGCTATTCCAATAACATCAATCCAAGAAGTTTTGACAGCTTCACGCAAGGGAATCAAATAGTTTCATGACTATAGGATATACCACAGAGTTCAAAAATATCATTCTTTGATAATGATAGATAAATAAATTGTATCTACAAGATAACAGATTTAACAATCATTTACCTTCCATCCGGATTATTTGGAGACGTTAGAAATATGCACTTTGGCTTCTCCTTTTCAACCACCTCAGCAATGAGTTCCACATCCAAGTTGAAATCTGACTTCCTTCGAACTGATGATAAGATCCAATTGATCGAATTATTCAGAATGCATTTAAAAAATGCAGTCTGGATGAGAAACAAGCAATCCAATTATCCAGGTGCAAGAAGAGAAAAGTATATCAGAGAGCTTCAAAATGGACACCGACAGAACCAGCCATATGACAGTATATTATATTTACCTTTGACGACATGTGCCCCATTAACAGCAGCATCAAATGCATACATTGAGAAGGTAGGAGGGCAATCTATGATCTTGTCACCCGGCTCCAGTACACATCTATAGGATGAATAATTGGGCAAAAAACAATATGATTAAAACGAACAATCATATAAGTTATACAGCAAACAAGTAACACAATCTCAAAATTAAAAGTCAAGGCCTCATATATAACCGCATGATCAGATGTATAAGTTCGTCGCAACCACAGCATGCAAGAATATAATCAGATTCAAGCCATGAATCTTCAGTGAGTGCAGCACGTAACTGTCGGCTTTCAGGGTCAGGATATATGTATGGAAACTTTAAACTGCCCAATGGTTCAAAAACGTACAAGGAATCTGAAATTTGTAGTCAGGGATAAAGGATATTCAACAGTGATTTCAAATAAAATGTTAAAGAACTGATCACTGGGGNNNAACAAAGTGAGGTTGTGGATCTAACTTGCCTCCGGAGGTGGACCATAGGGATTCTCATTAGCATCTAACTTGATGATATCCTCAGGCTTTCTTCCTAGTTGGGCTGACAAGACCTGTGAAACGAAGCCTGCTACTTAAAACATATTACCCATCTCCTAGTTGCCTAATAAAACATTTGAGTAAGGAAAGGAAAATTCATTATTTCTACAAAGCCTAGCACATTATCATGCATATACCTGCACAACTATTGAAACCTATTTGAAATTTTAAAAATTTCGCAATACCAAAAACGATAGTCCAATATTATTATCACCAAATATATCCCGTTTCATTATTTGAAAATGACAATGAATGCAGTAAGTCAATAAGCAGAAAGTAGAATCATTCACGAAGATATTACAGAACACCAAGTTATCCGCATATACATATACTGCTTGCATTCGAGTAATACTTATCTTTACGTACAAACCCAGTTCACTTAAATTGACAAGTAATCGTAAAAAGATACGACACACGAGTGACCAAGAGCATAACTTTTTTTAGTTCCATATGTTAACAAACACCATTCACTATCCCATTCAAGCAAAAATGTACAGTGAAAACCAAGTTAAAGCCATTATCAGTAAAACAAGGCAAAAATCAAGAAAAACCAACCAAACAATTCAATGGGTCAGTTCCAATTACCTCAAAAGGCAAAATCGGCTGATAGGGAGCCAATTCCCTCAAATGGGGCCGGATGAATGAGTCGCCTGTCAACCTTTTTCCTTGATTGGCATGTGGTTGTACAGGTACAGTAGAGGCCATTGCAATGGTTCTCGGGCAGTTCCCTCCAAATGAGTAAATGGGTTTCCTTGATACCACAAATTGGTGATGATTGGTATTGGATTTTGTCAAGCAAAAGGAAGAAATGTTGCAGAATTCAATCACACTCATATTAACCTCTGCAGTCAACAGTTCAATTCTCATCGTTATAAAAAGAAAAGATAAAAAAATCTTCTCATCCACATTTTGATCCAAGAGAGTGGCTGGATGAACAGAACAAAAGTAAGAGGCAACCACAAGAAGAAAGAAAGATCGTTGGTGGGAAAAACCTGGATCGAAAATGTGAACACCCTTTGGACTTTTAAGTCTTCTCCTTTTGCTTCTCTGTGTCTCGGGATTCTTGGAGTAAGCTAAACAACAGGAAAACCCAAACCCTAGAATCTCATCAGAAAAATAATAATAATAACGCACCCAAAATCAGACGAAGATTCTTCTTGTTTATAATTTTCTATTGAGAAGGCAAGGTCGCACTTGTCATCTAATAAAATTGAGAATAACAGCGAAGGAAAATTAGAAATTCAATTTTAAAAAATTAGTATTGTTGTATCATACAAAAAATTATACAATATATTTCAATACATTATACTACTTTATATACATATATATATATTTTTTTTTGTTAGTTATAATTTCGATTAAATAAACATATATTTTCTCAATGCATAATATTACATTCATATAAAATAAAAATATTTATAAATCATTCCTTATTAACCTCATTAATCAAATATACACAAACCTTTTTTATTGATAATTTTCACATCACTCTGTCAACTATAAACAAAATAAAAATATTTTTAATAAGCTGCAAACTATACAGTAAATAATTTTTTAACATAAAAATAAAGTTTAATTATTAATTCAGTACAAATTATTTGAGCAAAATTATGAGAGAGAAACAGGACTTGGAGCTCAGACCCATAACTGAGCTGAATGGATCAAATTTTGGGTTACAGTCGGCTTTAATGGGCTCCTTTAAAATTAGATGGGTTGGGTTATTTAAATAACTTACTAAACTCACTTTAATTATTTTTTTAATATAATATTTCTATATAATTGTAGTTTATTCTTAAAAATAATATATTTACAATAAATTTATTAAATATTATACTCATAATTTTATTTTAAATTGATTTTCAACAACACTAAGCAAAATGGGACATCAATCATTAAATAACTCGCATCATCAGCAGTCAGCACTAGTTGACTTTTTTAGGCCTACGATGTCCTATTGATAATTTGTTCGGGATTGGATAAATATTTATTTGGAAAATTATTTATTTTATGTTCGAACAACTAATTATTAGAGCAAGAGTTAAATTATATATATATATTGTTTTTTTTTAATAGATCAGAGTAAATATCTAAAAAAATTACAACTGACTGGACCAAAATTTCAAAAGTAATTATACATTAATTAAGATTTACATTATCAAACTAATTAATTGTATAGTTTTAATTATTTTGTACATTCACCTGCAAGATAAGCAATTAATAATCATGAAAATTTTGATTTCCAATTCCATTTAAGCATTTCCCAGCAAACTTCCAAACACGTTCAATTATACTAAGTAAAATTGTTTTCCCATACTGCAATTCTAAGATATGAAAAGATTATATATATATAATTAATAATCATAATCTGAATATTATATATTATTAAAGTTAATTACTGCAGGTAAAGACCTCCATAATCAAAGTTTGTGTAGAAATAAACACAAACAAACAAACAGGGTAGGATGAAAATATTATACTTAATTCGATTAAATTTAATTTAACCCAACTTTTCTTTAAAAAGTTCATAATTTTGATTTATGACTGGAAATGGACTTCAAATAAATACTAACACCACTACTTTTAACTTTTAATATTTATTTAAGTATGAAGTTTATGCTAATTTGAATGTATTATATATATATATAGTTTTTTAATATATTTTAAGTACTAGTAGATGGGGTTGATATAATAATTATAATTTTTTTTTTAAAAAAAAAAGACAGACTAATATAGAAATTTTTATAATTAATAATAATAATAATAGGTAGGGAAACACATGATGTGTTGAGAAATGTGAAAAATATGAAGATGGATGTGGGTCCGTAATCCTTAAAAGGCCCAATAAGCCTTACTCGAACAGAGACGACCGAATACAATGTAGAACAGAAAAACAAAGAACAAAGAAGAAACGACAAATTATTGCCATGCCCTGCCTTCTTTACCTTTTTCTCCATATATATATATATATATACACACACACTCGGCTCTTCTTTTTCTGTTCTTCATATATGCCGCATATATGTATATTTACATTGAAATATATAGAGTACATATGAGATGTCTCAAACCCATCTCATGTATTACATTATCATCATTCACCAACATCTAAATCTAGTGCAGATTTCGATGTTGCCATTTTTCAACCATGTGTATATATACATATACATTCATAACTATACTTACATATACATATGTATATATTCACTTTCCGCGGCAGGTCAGGTGGGTTCAACTTAATTACCATATCGACTAATTAGCAGTGCAGAGCGACGAGCATTTCTGACGCACTGCCATATGGAGAAGGGCTTACCACACTCTCCTATGCCGAAACCCACATGAACCCATATAGATTCTATCCTTATATAATAAGAATATATAATTTAACTAACTATTAATTATATGTTCATCTACGTACTTACGATATAATTAATTACATTTAATTAAACATTTTCCGTATTGATAATTGCAACGTAAGACGATTACATAATACACCACACTTTGCATTTAACACAAATGAAATCAATAATAGAAACCCACATGATCAGAGAGTCCAAAAAAATGTCTCATCCTCCATGTGAATCAGTTTCCTATCTTCCCTTCTTCTTCACTGGTATTCTCAAATATAATATGAAATTATAAATCGGTAACTGTCAGCGGTGTCTTGAAGCAATTAGCAAATCATCAACACCCAAATGAATAGACAAAAGAATGATTTAATTTTGATTTTTGATAGAAAAATTATATATGATATGATGATCTCTAGCAGAAACTCCACAGACGAATATCGCCTTCTTCGTTGTAAAAATCCTCCACCGCCATAGCCGGCGGATCGGCCACCACATTCATGAACATCTGATCTACGTACTTCGGCGACTGTAACCCATCAAAGCTGTAGTAATTATTCCACGAGTATTCCATCGATGGAGCTACCAACTCACTGTATGTCGGCTCAAAAGATTGCATTAGCGACATGACGTCATCCTCCGGCTGATCCGACCCGGTCGACGGGGAAGAAACCGAAGATGACGTCGTAGAAGGAGGAGTAGGCGAAGTATTACTATTACTATTATTATTATTATTATTATTATTACTGGTGGCTGAGTCGACGAAACTATTGGCAGCTGCGGCGGCGACACGTTGTATGGACTTGGGGGACATGACGGTGTCGGGAATAAAGTGGGAAGGAGTGATGGGGAAGTTTAGATTCGCGGCGGAGCTGGAGCCTTTGAGACAGAGAAGTGCGGCGTCGTAGGCTCTGGCGGCGGCTTCTGGTGTAGAGTAAGAGCCGAGCCATATTCTTGTTTTCTGATTAGGCGCTCTGATTTCTGATACCCATGATCCCCAGCTTCTCATTCTCACTCCCTTGTATTTCTTCATCTTCGTCTTCGATGAAGCCATTGGTTTTGATGATGACGATACTGGTTCAGCTTGGATCTTCTGCTCCTCGGTCGTCTTCACCATTTGCAGTTCGATACGATGATCAGCAATGGAGTGCAAGTGTATATGTATGTATGTATGTATGTGTATAGGAAGAAGGTATACGTGAATGGTTCTTGTTGGTGTTGGGAAAGTAGCTGCCAGTGTTAGAGGAGGAATGGAGAGTGATATATATACACAGAGATGGGGGGGGTCTCAGTTAAAAAGGTGCTGAAAATCTTAGTCAGGAAAGAGTACGACACCATGAATGTGAAATATGGGTGAATGACAGATATTTTCATGCTTTATTTTTATATTTACATATTTCTATATAATTGGAAATAGAGATTTCCTACTTTTAAAATTAAGAATATATTATAAGGAAATTAATTATTTTGTTATATCACGTCTAATTACAGTTTGTAGATTAAATGTAAATTATTAGGGTAAACCGACCCACACGGAGAAGAAGGAAGAAATGATGAGAAGAAATTATGGTAATTAGAAATTAAGAAAAAGTTAAAATGAAAATTTTGAACAGAATAGTTACCCCCTAAATTTTAAAAAGACTAATAAAACTAATTATTACGCAAGTTTTCATTAATATGACGTATTGTGAGTAATTAAGAGGAGGTGTTATTTAACTAAACAAAGATTAAATGAACAACTAATCTCATTTGACTTTGGATTAAATAAATAACTCTGTAAAAAAAAAAAAAATTGTAATAAGAAGAGTTTACTCTGACTTAGGCCGCAAGACACCCTTCCCCAGTCGACACCAAAAAAAAAAAAAAAGAGGGGGGAGAGAAAGGCAAAAGTGATAAGTTTGCCACGTGGGTTGATTTTAATTTAATTAAAAAAAATAGTAAAAATGTCGTATCAGAAATCTAATTAATGAGTGACCATACCTTTGAACAAAATAATGATAAAAAGGTAATTAATTAACTAAAATGCAGGTTAATGTTAATTAGAACTTTTTAATTAAAAAAAAAAAAACATAGGATTCTCTGGGTATAAGGCAAAGGCAACTTCGAGGATCTGCACCTGATGATGCTCAATGAGGATTAAGTTAGCTGTTAATTAAGATACCAAAATTAAACTTAATTATTTACATTTTTAATAATTAATAATTTACTTTCTTTTTTTTTAATAAATAAATAAAAATACATACGACACTCAACACACGCGCAGTCTAAACTTAACAGTAAATCTCCTGTCACTTTGCTTACGTATATATACATATACACACACAAGAAAGAAAAAAGAAAACACCAGCTGGTGCTCGTCTGTCTCCCAAATCTAGAAACCGCGTTATTCTCCTTCTTCCTCCTTACTCCTGCCGATCATTAATTACTGTTGCTGATGTATCTATACGTACTATTATTATTATTATTATTATTATTAATACATTAACTTAATGCACTAATTTAAATTTTATATATATATATATATTTTTCTTTTGGGTTCTTCTAGTTTCTGAATTTGAAGTTAACCCAGTAAAAATAAGAACTTGTTCTTACCTGGGAGCACGTGGGGAGAGAGACATATAGAAATGTAGGACACTTAGACCCTATCAAAGGGTACTTTTCTTTTGTTTTGTTTTTGGGAGAGTTTTGTTTTCACACCTCGGACAATAAGGAAGTAGCAAAAGCCAAAAAGCTGGAGTTGTTTTCGTCAACTTTCCAGCACAAATGTCAGGCAAAGCAAATTAAGGTTTTGCATTTCAATCGACCATTTCATATGTCAACTATGGATGGCCCTTGCCCCTGGTCCCGACACCCTCTTCTTGTAAGGCAGGGCGTCCTACGCCTCTATTACTAACGTACAAATTCTTAATAAGTCAAGTACACCTCTCCCCATTAATGCTTTATTGGTATTAGTTACCAAATACTATATATATATATATATATATATATCAATCACATTATTGTATTTAACTAAAATTGGATATAATATGCATTGATTTCTCAAGGGTATGTGTGTGCGTATGTACATATACACATATATGGGAAGTGGGAAAAATAGTTGTTTGTTAATGATGTGCAGACTGGCATTAATAAAATCATTCAACCTTTTGAAAATTTTTTACTTAGCCCCGTAAACATATATTTCAAATGTTCAACTACATTAACCCCCCAAAACAGTTCCTTCATAATTTAACGTGTTTTTGACCCTCTCAATTCTTTTATATTCATTCACACATGTGCTTGCATTACAACCCAGTTAATGTAATATAATATAGATATAGTAGCTAAAATATTACATACATATAGTCACATGCGTATGGTAACTCAAAACATAAAAGTTTGTGGAAATTAATGAAGAAATTTTGATTTTTGCAGAAAACATTAAGACACGCATTGAACGAATAAAACGTCGTTGAATTGGTAAATCCAAATTACCAGTAAGAAGTCTTTGTTATTGAAATTAACCCCCACCATATTCTATATATATATATATATATATGTATTGAAGTATATATGGGTATTTTCTTCAAAGAAAAAATTTACTTTTACTGTGTTAATTACTTGTTTTTATCATAAGCAAATAATCTTCTAGTAATCCACGTAGAAATGTAAATGTAAATCCTCACCTGCCCTAATGATTTCAAATTGAATCTAAAAAGAAAAAGAAATTAAAAATATAATATAATTAATTTATCTAACCTGTAATTACCCCCTCAATATCAATAAATTTTACCTTGCGATCCCCACACACATATATATATATATATATATATATATAGAGCAAAGTAGAATAAGCTGTTGTTAATTCCAATATACACACCCATGTGTGAAAAGAATAGTGTCGTCAAATCCGTACGAATCCTCTTCCCTTCCTTCAGTTTGCCAAATAAATAAATTCATAAACATTAAATCATATAATAAATAAATCACGTACGTAATTCTCGTAAACTCAATATATTCTTCTTCTAAAATATTACTAATTCATTATTATTATTATTATTATTATTATTATTACTATGTATACATGTATGTATATATGATCAGGTAAAGATTAGTCGACGCTAGTTAAGAATTAATTATAATTATTTGTTTACTGAAACATGAAATTTTAAATATATAATATATATATATGTGTGTGTGTGTGTGTGTGTGATCACATGTTGTAGGAGCTTTGGTTTCAGAAATTCGGGATTGAAACGAGGATTTTGTTCATTGGAAATAAGAAGGAAATTTCTGACCCGAATAAACTAATTATTGAAGAGGATGTTTCTGTTGAAATATGGCTCAAATTAGTTGACCTTCTTCTTAATTTACCATAAGTAAATGCAACTTGATTATATACGTACGTATGTTTATTTACTATACTATTCTCAATATATATATATATATATATATATATATATTGTGCCTTCCAGTGCATTCTTCTAGATCATGTGCCATCTACATATATAAAACCCACTACATCATAATCTCAACAATTATATTTATGTGGAAAAAAAAAAGAGATTGACTTACCTAGTCATATGAAAAATGACCATTTAGAGTTATCCTTTTTCTTTTTCTTTTTTTCTTTTTTGGGGAGGGGTGGATTTTGAATAAAGTGATATATATATATATACATATACATATAATTATGCTCATATTTAACATACTTTCTAACAAAAAGTTCGTTCCCCATATATGTCGTGATGGAATCTTAAGTGGGTATCCCTTATCTCATTATTAGCTTGTTTGGAGGTGGAGAAAATTTAGGAATTAGGATTAGTGTGTGAGTAACTTTTTTAATACAAGTACTATGAAATATCCTTTAAAGTTGTATTGTTGGTCTTTGTGGTTAGCTAATAACCAAAAAAAAAAAAAAAATTTACTTCCTAGCTGTTATTGTTGAAGAATTATGCGGAATTGATAATAACTAGATTAGTATCACATATGTCATGTTTCGAGTTTTTAAATCATGTTATTCATAGTGTTTTATTAAACATTTAAGTTCATTGTTCGTAAAATTACGTAATGGGTTTATAATTGTTAGGTCTACGATTGTTAAATTTATAGAATTTTTTGTGAGACTAAAATATCATATTAAAGTGTAACGTATAAATATTTCTAACTTTTTAAACCAAGAAATAGATAAAATAAATATTTAACATATTTTCTAGCACAAAGACTTCAAACAATCACATCATGAGCGACAATAATAAAGCAATGATAGCAGATAATGCCACAATAACGTTTTGGGGGAGTATTTGCTAATGAAATGTTACTCTTATCTTCATGTTTGAATATCAAAATGTGCTAGTGTTATGATTCATACATTTATTCTTGTAAAAAGATTATAAGTTCGAATTGGACTGTACTCGGAGTTCATTTATGTGGTACTATAGTTAATATATATGTATTAATTAATTGATATATATATATATATATATATATTTACTAAAAATATAAACGTAAAAGTGAACAAAAGGAGAATTTTTGAGGCATACCATGAAATCTTCTCTGTTTATTTTAATATAAAAAAAAGAGCACTTTCAATCAGGCTTCCTCAAATATTTCGATATAATACCATACCTACTCCAGGTCCAAGTCCCTACCTGATAAACTAGAAAAAAGAACCCATAAATGCAGATTCATACCCTCTTCTCCTCTTAACACACATACAATACATATGTATTTATATTAAATGAATCGTTGTACTTGTAAAATATATATATATATATGTTGCAGAGGAAGGTTATATATAAGATCTGTCTTAACTGGCACCGTACCCATAACCTTCCGTACCTCACACAACAATGAGATCAGAAATGCAATAATAATAATGGCGCATATATATATATATATAAATATAGATAGATACATCCGTATTAGAAGGAGATGAAGATGAGGGAGTAGGGCCACAAAAGATTTTCAACCCAAAACAGGGGGATGCAGATAACAAAATTAGACCCTTGTCACTTTTTCAATAAATACACTAATGGAACAGGATGGGCAAAAGGAAACTGCTATGAAGGTTGAATCAAATCAAAGCATGTAGGAGGATGATGAGGCAGGATCCACGTGGGTAAGGTCTTTTCACCCCCAAATAAACTAATTATATATATATGTAACCATGTATCATCAGACCTGATCACCATCCATCCATGGAGAAAGTTCCAGGAAAATCATAATTT